TTTCAGGAAGAGCTGCAATGTGGAAGAATTGGGTCTTTCATAACTATTTGCAAAAAGGTCACAGTTTGATCTCTGTCTCCCTTAGGGATTTCATGAAAATTTGAGCAAATAACATCAGCTCATCAAAATTATCAAGGGTGGGTTTGATTGTTTACACATTCCTTTTCCTGAATTCTTATCTGGCTTGACATTTCATGATGGATCAGTGATAAACTCATGCAGCCTCTTGACTCATGAATTTATTAATCATTACTTTCTCATTTTCAGTCATTTTCAGATCACAGCACATTAAGAACAAGTTGCTTTTTGTTGCCCTTAAATGGAAAAGCAGAATAAAAATAAACATACTCTTTTGTAAAATTTTCTTGTGTGGACAATTCCTCTTTGAAACAGCACATACATATTGCAGAAGCCAACGTATCAGTAAGGATTTGTGTGGAAGCTGATGCAAATCAAGTGAAATGTATATTTAAAGTCTAGTAAGTAGGCCATGCTAAATTCTTACAATGACACTTTCCTAACTGAATCATGTCGTTTAACCCACATCCAAGGTGCAGTAGGATGAAGTACACGTAACGGCTTTTAGGCCACATTGATACTGATGATTAGATTTGGCATTTGTAATTTACATAGGCTGGACAGTAGAGACTGGAGGACAGACTATCTGGAAGTTCTGCTTAAGTTAGGTCAGGATTTTTTTTACTTGCCCATCCCACCACTTTTTCTACAAGGAGTCTGGAATTCGTGGATCTTCTGGTGTCGGAGGCTACCTCTTGAGTATTCAGAAGCAGACGGCACGTCTCACAAGGTGCAGGCTCTGAGATCAGGTGCAGAGACACCACAACTGTCACTCAAGCTTGACAGAGGGCAGCCTCGAGACCAGAGTTGCCCCTAAAGCTAAATGTAAATATATTAAGTATACTTAATACAGTTCTATAAAATAGAAAATTAACTATAAAATCTTAATGATAAACAGTTGCTGAATAGCCATTTCAGTCCCTTTGTATTTAGATTTTGAGTGTCCCAAGTCCATGCTCAGTTTAGGTTTCAGAAGCCAGAAACATTTGAAGATTTAGTCTTGCAAAAAACCCACTTATTTTTCTAGAAGATTCCTGCTAGGCCTGGAGAAGGACATGAAGAAGATTATTGGTTTCAAAGTACATGTTCAGCTGAGCCAAACAAGCACAAGCAATTTAAATTTATTTATGTTTTAGAACTATCTAAGTACTTAGCTCGCTCTCTCTGTCCTCAGTCTAGTAGTGCACAGGAAGGTGAAGTAAAAGCAAAGGACTACTTTAGTGCAGTGAAGTGTCTGGTACTCTCATATTGTATGTGCTCTGTGAACCCACTAAAATAAGAGTACACATCCATGAGGAAGTTTCTACTGTCTTTCAGTGGATACTTTTTTCTACTATCTGATCCTTCTGTTCAGTAAGAATTATTGTGTTGCTGAGGAAAACAAGGAAATCTTTCTACTAGCTTACAGTAACGCTGTGGAGAGGAGGTGTCATTCAGCAGTTCTGTTCAAAGGTAGAGGGAAAAATAATTAGGAGATTAGAAGTTCTTCGAGGTTTTTAGTATATTGGTTTGCCTCAAGTGCTTTTTTAATCTGTCCTTCAGTGTAAAGAGTAGCTTCCAAATTCAGAATTAGATTTCACTATAGTAAATGAGACCTCCGTACCTTAATTCTTTTGTAATTAGCTTTAAATTGCTTCCTCCCTCCCCTTCTTTTCTGAAGCCTGTCTTTACTGTATGACAAATCCAATAACTATAGAGTACCCATGCTTACATTTAGTGAAGTTCTTCTTATACAGCAAAACCGAGTAAATTCTTAACCAGCTCTGTACTGAATGACCTGACACCCCTTGTGAGAGCATCCAGGCCTGTGTTCAGTTTACACTTTGAAGATCCTCAGATACTAAAGCTTCTTGATGTAGTGTAACAACAATAATTTTCAGTAGACTTACTGGAGCCCACTATCTAAACGCTATGTCTCTCTATGTGGTTGGAAGCCAATGCCTAACCACCTGCAAACAAGGAATTTGCAACCCCAAAACACAACCTTGTCTTGTCAGAAGAAAAACTGAGGTAGGACTGCAAGAACTTTACAATTTTTTTCCACTTGTGTTCAGTAAAGAAACAGCAGGCATGACAAAGTGAACCGAATCAAGTTAAATAAGTTCCTATTAATAGCAATCCTCAGGTGCTTAAGACCACCCATATTTTACTCCATTTTCTGAGCCTCTTCCTCAAAACGGTATCCAACACACAGAGAACTGTGCTAATCATTGTGTCCGAATTGCGTTGAATTCTCTTAGGTCTTTGAATACTTTGTATCTGTTAGGATTCTGCTCGGGTCTGATTTGCACATAGCAAAGACATTACTGAGTTACTGCAGATAGTGGAAATCAGTGCCATCTAGTGACATCTTTTGCTGCCACCTTCAAATGGTATTTCATCTTGAAATAAATGCATATGCTCCTCCCTCTCCTAGTTATGCAGTTTTAGATTAAGATTGTCATTCCTTTCTTTGGTAAATAGTTATTTTGTATTTACTTATTATTTACTATCCTCTGAAAGATACCTTCAAAGCAAAACTAGAATACGTTAGTGTCTCAAATTCAGGGAATTATTTTCTCAAAATATTACAATATAAGTTTCCATTTGTAGGTCTAAAAGATCTCATTTATAACTTAATAATATAACAAAAATAGAGAAGCACCCAGGAATGTCTCAAGAAGGCAATAAAGTCTTAACAGGAAAACATGAAAAATTCAGATTATTTGTCATCTTCCAGCAGATTCTCGAAAACAAACAGAAAAATACACAAAAAATCTCCCCAAAAAACACAACACACCAAAAAATCCCACAACACCACTCTTAGGCAGAAAGGAGATAAAGGAAATAATAAAGTGTCAGCAGTGATAGTAGAAATCACATTTTCCCAAGCCTTTTTCAGAAAAGGGCTCCAAAAATATAGATGGGTGTCCAAGATACTTATTACTGAAAATACAAAGTACAGAACCCTCACAAGACCCATACAGTATAAGGTACAGGGATTGTGTGCTCCTTCCTGCCCCTCCCACCTACCTCCACTCTCCCGAAAGGCTGATGTATGACAGTACCTGCCTTACAGGTCAAAATACTTTTGTGAAGTTACTGTGGGATAAATCCAGAAGACTGGCAAGGAGGATTGTAAAAACGCTCAAATGACTTGCAGCTCAGCTGTCAAAAAACACATTTATTGCACTAATTGCTGTTTAGTCTTTCATGCTTGACAAGTAGAACCTCTGTGCTTAGGTAACATAGGCTGTGATAAACTCAGAGGCACCTTATCTAACACACTTGAGATTCCTGCCCTGCTGTGGGAAAGATCAAAGCACAACAGTGGAAAGCTACGCCTGAGAAACATCCTTTAAATACAGGCGAAAGCAGCAGGTTCAAAATCTCTTGCTCTCGTCTCAGCAAGAACCAAGTTTCACGGCGCCTGCGTCCCCACTTCTGTGCCTCTGCCCAGGTGCTGCTTGAGAGATCCTCTGGTTTGTGAGGTAACGGGAATAAATCTGCTCTCTGTGTCTCACCCGTGGTTTTGTGGTTGTTCCTGTGACCTGCCCGAGTCAGCTCACTTAGTTATCAGCAAGGAATCATCCGCCTAGAAATCTAATCTCAAAACACTGTAGAGAACAGATGAAACCCTGTCTTACAAAAAAGCTCAGTCAGTAGTAAAGGACTCAGCCCAAAACAGTTATAATAATGATACAGAGTTTAAGTACCAACGACTAATATTGCATTCCTAGGATAAACTTTGGATAACACAACATTAATGCAAACAGAAACTGAACTGCCAGAAAACACTTCCCTTAATGCCCAATTTTACTCTCTCAGCTAGCTACGGGTTCAGCCACTAGGTGTCTTCACTATACAGAAATGCAATATGCATTTTGTCTCAAGTGGAAACATGCTGTGTTTGTTCAGTTCAAATGCACCTACAACCATCATCTAGTCCAACTGCACGACCACAAGCTAGAGCATGTTAAGGGCATTGTCCAAATGCCTCTCAAACACTGACAGGCTTGGGGCATAGATAATTTCTCTAGAAAGCCTGTTCAAGTGTTTGTCTACCCCCTGTTTCAAGTCTAAACCTTCCCATTTTAACATAGGATTTCATAACTGCATTAATTTCTTCCCTGCTTTCTATCTGTAGTTGTATTTGCCTTACAAGCAGAAGTGGTAATTGCTATATACAAAGTTCCTGTTCAACCTTATTTTGGTTGAATCTTTATGAAGAAACTTTGCATTGGCAGGATTTTTTGGGACGATTCGTCTAAATGGTTCAGTGGTTTAGAAGTATTTAGAGGGAAAAGGTGTTGAGGACTTGCTGAACGCACACAAAATTCAAACCCAAATTACTTGGCCTTATGTTATGAGGATGCAAAGACTGAATTGTAGAAGCAATCATGTTATAGTGTAGATTATTGTGAATTAATCTAATGCAAATTTAGACTATTTAGACACGTGTTTCTGACATCTACCAGCTTGTGAATAGTGAATTTGTTCGGCTTCTTTATTTGGTAATGTTGAATGGGAGCAATACACAAGTTTAAAATACTGTTGCACATCCCTTCTCTTTGCTGTATTGCCACTTGCAAAATCAAAACCTCAATTGCGGGAGCATCTTTCAAAAAAAAAACCAAAAACCTGCAGCTACATTTGTTACACTGTAAGAGAAGCCAGAGAAGGGCTAAGGATGTTTTGCCTTGAATCACAGAGAAGTTGAGATGATGTGAAATGATTGAGCAGTTCACGTTTCAACCACAGAAAAAAAACCTCTGTGACCCGTCAGACTTTTGCAGATGTATTTGCTTCCCCGCCCCTTTCTGCACTGTCTTAACAGAAGAGCTAGAAAAGGGAATCGGCTCAGACATACACCCCTGGTAAACCTAGACCATCTCAACTGCACTTCTTAAATCCACAAGAACCCATTCTATCATGCCCAGAGAATGAAGGCTCCTCCAGTCATGGTGATAAAAAGGATATTACTGTACCTCCTTCTAGTAATGCTGGCTCAGAGCAACTATCAAGTTTACGGTAAGATATAGTCTTACAATTTAACCTGTCTGTAGCTATTAAACACTGTGGGTGGAGAACAGAAGCCAAAGCAGTGCTTAGTGTACTTTGGAGATACTGTGTCCTATTTTATTATCATATCAGAGACTCCTAACTTGATTGAAGAGGATGATAATGCCAATAATTGAGAAATATTCAGTAACTGTCTAGACCAGAACTCTAGCACCTGTGGACCAAATACGTATTGCTTTGTGGCCAAAGGCTCTGCCTTGAAGAGGTTTGGCAGCATTCAAGCCACTGCTTGAAATACAGGAATCCTACTAGCTCTGAACTAAATCTGGTTTGGAGTCAAGTTATCCTTACCAGATAAGCGTACCTTCAATTATTTAGCTTAACCTTGTTTAATTTCCATCCTACTTTCAATATTGTATTCCCATAGTTTTTAAGTAGAGATGTTCTCCTAATTTGGACTGATGTGAGGACTACACTATGCCCTAACACTACTTCTAATATACTCCCAATATTGTTTTTTACTTTATTTTGCTTAATGAGAATATTTTGTTTCATATTCTTCCCTGCTAGTATCATACAGGAGACATAAGTGCTATTATTGAAAGGAATACAGTCTAACAGAAAGGATAATAGCTGCTGCAATGGATGCACTCAGCTGCTGTTGATACATTTCAGATACATCAGCTGATAAATTGATCAACATAACATTTCTTATAAGACACTGCTAAAATTACACAAACCAATTGGCTATGTGAGGCTTAGTTGACATGTGTGACTAACTGCAAATCTATAGCGTCTTTTGACACTACTTGTTTTTATGAATAAAAGACATTAATACTAATAGGAAAGGTTAAACAAGCTTTCAGAGCATCTGCCTGGGAAGGGAAACTCAAATATTTAGCTTAAGAGACATGGATTACTACATCAGTTAGATGAAGCTGTTTCTTAATCAGAGTGTGATGTGGGCTCGAGGAGACTACTGAACTGCTTTGCATTTGGTTTTCAAATGAATAAACTAACATGTTTCTGAAGAAGGTGTATCTAGAGCCTACAACCTCCTTCATACCTGAAGCAGAAGTATCTTCTTTTCTTTTTAGAGTTAACTGCTGTTGCTCTTCACTTCATTAAGTCTGCCTGTATTATTAGTCTCTCATGCAATCACCTCTCTGCATCGTCCAGGATAGTTAACTAACACATGGACAAACCCTCCATACTCATCTGCCAGGTTCCTAGATACTGTTTTCAAAACAGAATATAATTTCTGTTGTGCTGCTTATCGCATGAATCTTGTTTACACAGAATGCATTTTACTAGGTTTTATTCTTTGATCTACATCAAAACTACTTGGCATCCCCTGAGAACAATACTATTTCCTTCTATACACCTATATTACTACAAATATCAGAGTCAGAGAGACAAGTTTTGCAAGTCAGTCTCTACAGAACCATGATGTAAATATTTTTTTAAATGTAGTTACATTTTAGCTGTAAGTTTTCTAAGGTTGCTTGGTTTTTATTTTTGTTAGAAATAAGCTGATAATTGAAGCCAACTTATTTAAGCTTCGTATGTTTCAAATCTATCCAAGTTTCCCTTACTCATAACAGAAACAAAGCTGACCACTCAGATTCCATATACAAATTCAACAACCAGCAAAACTTTTCTAAATTAATCTAAATTTCATAAATTTTAGTGCAGTTAGAGCCTGTCTCCTTTGTAACACCAAAGGCAGGTTGTTCCCATCCAGTCTCAGAAAGAGTGATTGCTGCTGTCTGGACAGCATGCACAAAGTAAACGAAGTGTTTCATCCCAACGAAATAAAAATCCAGCAAACCTGCCCTCACTCCATGAAGCCTCAGCCAGTAACCAAGTATGTAGGCACAGTTCTTGGCTCAAATAACATCTTGCTGTTAGACCTTCTTGTGGGATAGCCTGCATATGCCAGCATTCAGCTAAACAGAAATGTTCCATTTTCAAGTTTCAGACATTAGAATATAAAAGCATGTTTTTTGAACTTACACAGCTTTCATGAGGGAATAGTTAAAAAATAGTGAAGCTCTGCATCAGGTTCCTCAGGAAGCAGGTCAGCTTTACAAATACTGCCATTGCCAGAAAACACAAACAAACAAACTTCAAACAATACCAACACAGAAAACCAACTAGAAACCCAGAAAATCCTTCACTGTACACAAAGTAAATAGAAAAAGTATATTACTGTATCTTTAAGATGACATGGGAAAAAATAATAGACATCTACCAAAATTAAATTTCTATTAGCAAAACTACATTATTTGAAAAATCCAAATTCTGATATAAATATGTAGAATTACTAACATGAAATTCTACATCATTCTTTGAAAAGCCTTCTTGGATGCTGGGAGAAGTCTGAAAAAGGCCTATCTAGTTATCACTCAGTATGTCTTCTAAGTGCTTTTCTTTCTGAACAAACCTTACTTAAATTCAAGAAGGGAGCATATTTTTCCTTGAATTCTCCTCTCAGCCTGTTTCCTTTTTTGTTGCTAGAATTAACAAAGTTATGAAAATCTCAGTGTTAAATGTGACATCGCACAAATGAATGAACTTCCTGGTGAATTTTTTGTTCTATGGCCCTAATTAGAAACTTCCCAGCATACCAGACCCTAGTTAAAATCACTACTAGTGCTTCGCCATGTTTATAACACAAATGTAGGATTCAAAACTAACTGTAGACTTTTTTTTTCCCACAAATAATTGACATTTTATACCTCAAGCATTATCTGCCTCAGGGAATGATACATATGACTTGTATTCTATCCCATCCCTTATTCCTATTTTATTTTTTTTTTTAAGGGATGAGAGAGGGGAAAAAAAGGTAAAGATCTGAAAGTATTTTGAAAACAAATGCATCAGATATTGCAGTTAATAAGTTCTAGTTTAGCGGAGTTGCTCTGAGTTCTTAGATGACCCTGTGTGAATGACGCTGTTTATAGTTCAAAGATTAGAAGGCTCAATTTTTAGGTATTATTTTCCTACCAATGGATGAAGTTAGGTAAACAGAAAGCCATCTCCATTAAACCTCTTTTGTTTGCTTAATGAGTTATGTAATGACTACGTTTTCTAGAACATAAGAATAAGAAAAAAACTGTTTGGTTTTTTTTAATAAAACAAAGCACTGTTAACGTATTTTCCTACCATACATGTCACAGAATACATGCTTTCATTTGCAGTCCTTATCCTGGCAGTACACTGCACAGATTTTCCTTACCTGAGCAAATTGATTCTTGGTGCAATAGACCCTGGCTCACTGCAGCCTCCTCAGGAATACACTCAAGTGATCTGAAAGAAAATGCACTTTTAAGCAATCTGAATGTTACAAAGGAGTATCAGTCTGAAGCTTCTGTATGTTACAGATTCTTTTACCCTCTTGGAAGCTGCACATTCAGCTACGTATCATGACCACCTATGTATCTGGCTCAGTATAAGACCTTGTAACTGGTTTCAGGTCTCAGCTCAAACCACTGTTGAGGAAAGGGTCATTAAATTTATCTCAGAAAGCACTTGCACATATAAAATATAATTTTCACAGCGTTGTTACCATTAACTTCTTAAAAGCCACAGGAGGCAAAAGATCAAAAACAGTTAAGATACATTGTCATAGGAAAAGTACTCCAAGCCAAGTGCACATTCATTAACTGAATTTTATTTCTTGTTTGTCTTTCTAATGACAACCAATGAACAGAAAAGACTCTGTCATTATCAGGTGGGTGTGTTGATTTTTTTTCCCTTGTTAAAAATAAAAAAAAAATAAAACCCCTAATTCTCTAGAATATAATGGGTTTTACTGTTATTTAATCTCAAATCTATCTTCACCTTCAGACACCTCTTCCTGCCAAGTGCCTTTACAGGAAATCTGGAAAAGATACCTTAAAAGTTTGCCTTAAATATGTTATTCTATATAGAAAAAGTCCCAAAACCTTTTGTTTTTCAAAAGGATTTTCTCCACTGCTTTTTAGCCACTTGAAGTTTCTTCCCAAGTGAGATGTGATCTGGGAGAAAGGAAAGGTTAATTAGAAATTTATGGGCATGTTCATTATGAATTCCCACACTCATCGCTACAGAAAAAAAGATGGATTGCAGGAAAAGGCTTTCTCTAGCCCAGTTTTTTAAGTCGTTGGCATAAAAAATAATTCAAACGTAGAATTTCTCAAAGTCTTAGAAAAACATTCAGCTCTTATTCACTCATCTCTTTGACGATATTGTTCTAGAAGGTCCCTAAATTGATGAGTAATAACATTTACTAAGAACTAGGTTTCTGCCTAGCAAAAATTTGAAGGCTTAAAGCTCAAGTCATTCAGGCATCAGGCATTAACAAGTGACAGAAACACACAAAAGAAATTGTGACTATTTTTTGTGCTCTAAGCATTGTCTTGTAACAACTTAAAAAAAGTAATTAAAGGCAGCCTAAAGTCCAGTTGCTCTAAGCCTCTGAAAGGAAGGCACTTTTGCAGGCTCTGAAGACAGATCGCAAATTCTCTTACACACTGAAAAGCAAACAGTAACTTGTGTAGTTTCTCATTACAAAGTTCAAAAGATTGCTCTATTTCACTAAATAAAATAACAGTGTTTACCCAGCATGCACAGGCTTCTTTCAAGGGATCCACAGATTATATCTAAGAAAATTAAATAAATGTTCCATAAGCTAAATTTCTTCTACCAAGTCTATAGCTGCTCTATAAGAAAGAAAGAAAAGAAGAGAAGAGATACTATAACATAGAGGAAATGGAAGATCAAGAGAAACCTAACAACCTCAACCTCCACTTATTCAGAGGGAAAAGAGGATTTGTATGCTGAAGTTAATTGACAGCAGGCTCCCAAACACTTTCACTTACATCAGAAATGAAGACTGAGAGCCAACAGCTGTGTCCAGACCAGTGTCATGCAAACTTCTATTTGAAAGCCCCTCTGAGGGTGAGCAGGACAGGAGGGCTCAGCTGCTTAGAAATCGTGGGCAGGCAGTGACACTGTTGGGCTGGGTACCAAGTGGGGCACGAGTTTTCCCACATGTGGTTACCAGAGTTCTGTGGCATATTCCATATCTCACCTTTTAAAGAAAGCAAGGGTGTTGAAGTCAGGCCCACTCAATGCCAGGGAACTTTGCTCTGGAAACACAATTTAACCAGACTTCATTATAATGAATTATACTAGTAAGTGAATGATCACCACCAAAAATGAAAGATCATCACCAGAAGATAAAGAAGAGAAACCATGGCACCTGTTGGCATAGGCACTTGGGAAAAAAAGGAGCAACACTATACATGTCACCTGACTGTACTAGCACATTTTATTTGAACTCTATTAAAAATGTACTGTATGAGCAAAAGTAATACAAGTAGTATCAATGTCAGTGTAACCAAAAAAAACCCAATTGTAACCAAATAAATCCTTTGTTAGCAGTGGAATAGCTCCTTATGACTTAATTGGTAGTAGAGCAGGAAGTTGTATGGAGGGAAGTTTCTCGTCGTGTTATCGGTGCAAGTTGAAGGCTTGAACTACTTATACCTTTCACCTACAGAGCAAGGGCTGCACAAAAACTAGTCTAGAAGTATATCCAGATCTAAGACTTCTGCTCTGGAAATTTGTATATTCTCACTCAGAATGTGGCAAGAGGGTAATTCAAAATTTTATGTGCACCCAGTATCACCTTTGTTGCCACTCTCTGCCACTGTGTTGGCCACTTCAGGTTGGCCAGTGCAAGACAATAGTTTCTTTAGAGCAATATTAAAATTGATAAAACATCTTCCTTTCCAAGTACCTATATAACTAATGTTCACCTGAATTCATGAGCATTAGTAACCCTGTCTCAAGTGAATGCTGTTGGAAGGACAAAATTTGCTTAATGTTGATCAGGTGATTCTTCCAAAAGAGACAGTGGGCAGTGATGTAGACTTTGTTGCAAAAGCACCAGATAGTTCAAAGTCAAGGAAAACATGACACCTCTGGACTGGAAAAAGTTAAGAATGAAAGAGGTACAACAATTTCTGACTCTCTCACTGGTTAATAATGATGCTGAATGAGAGAATGTCACTGAAATCTGTTTTAAAACTTTGAGAGAAAATGGACTTTTAGGACCTTCTATTAAAGTTATAGGTTTTGTTTTGAGTTTTTTTTTTGGTGATTTCGGGTTTTTTCCCCCTAAATAAAATTTTGAAAAAGATAAAACTGTATGATAAAATAATTAAATTAAGGACATCAGAAAATATCTGTTCTTCAGAGACCTGCATATCCATCTGGAAACACCTGTTACATAGGATTACATCAGAAAGAAGGCCAGTATCAGGGCACAATCTGAGTTTTATAGATGCTTCCTGAAGCATTATCTCCCACGCCAATCATTGCTCAAATAATTGAAACCTCTACTTTCTAATCTGAGCTTTTAGTTTTCATTTTCAGACTGTTGATAACTATGTGCTGCTACTGCGGTATGACCAAAGTTTATATGACCTACTTGTCTGAAACCAAATCATGCTTTCTTTTAATCAGAGATGCAAGAGTCTAAGTGAAAGATAAGTGATCCTGCTCCGTAACTAAAATACATCTTTCAGGGAAGCAGAAATGGTACTAGGTGGCTGGGCAGGGCATGCTGACCTAACAGCTTACTGGATGGACCATCAGCTCTGTTCATGTCCTTTTCCTTTGTATTTACATCTGATGAGTTCTTATCTCCCAGGTCTCCAAACTTACTAAAGGTTTCTTAGCCAAGCCCAACTGTTTTTATTCTGCTTCTCTCCTTCCCTCCCTTCTTAGGGATATCGAAGGAATTAAGGCTTCTAGTTCCCCCTTTTCTTTATTCAGATTTTTTCATTAGTAAAAAGACAATGTTTGTACCCAGAACTATTGTTCTCCTGTTCATTTTCTCCTCTCTATCCAAATTATCTGGATTTCCTCCACTTGCCCCTTCTGCAAAGACCAACTTTAAATTTCTTGTCCAAGTTGCTTACTTTGCCACTCTACTCACTCCAATTCAGTCCTCATTTAAAGCCATCCCAACTAAGGGAAAGTTGATATACAAGGATGATTTCAAATTTAGACACCTCAAAGCAGAAGCTTCCCAATCTTGTGAGCAGATGAGTTTCTGTATTGCACGTGGCAGAGATATATCAGAGACCACAATTTCTTGCAGTAGCTGCAAATAACATCCTTACAGTGAATAGCCTCTTTTACATTATCAAGCAAGATCAGGCGCATTTCACAGGGAAAAATCAGAACAATATTAAAGATTTAGATTTAGAGGCAGATTAGTGCCACCTAATTTTTAGATGACCATTCTTAAAGTCATCTTGAAGAGAGTAAACCAAAAATTCAACAGCAGCAAAGCGCTAGTCCTGCTATAATGAAGGCTATGAACACACTTATGCTCAAAACTCAGTATTACCGAGTGCTCTACAATGCATTTATGGTGTTGAGTAGTCTGAGATTTGTAGAGAAAAGGTTTGCAAACTAGATGTCATAAATGAAAACTGTTAATCTGGCCATCCCAAGATCTTGAATATATTATCCAAGTATTTTCAAGGATTGCTCTATCACACACATAAGGAATCTTGGCTGACTGTGCAGGTGAGGTGTTTGGTGTCACAGATATGTGCACTGGCTGCTGGCAGGGGGCAGAGACTCTGTCTGACAGACAGACCCCTCTGCTCCCCTCTGCTCTTTCCCCCTCTACATGTTTCTCCTCCCTACAAAACTTGCCTTCAACATACACTACTATTTTTTCTGCTCCCCTCTGTCAACCAGAAGATACAGATATACTGAAGATTTCTTTCTCTAGACTTGCAAGCAATCACTCTCTTCAGTGCACAAGCACTATACTGTAAGAAAGGGTAGGGAAGTAGGGAGCACATGGGTATCACATAGCTTCTGTTACTTTGACTTAGTTACTTTGTTGCTTTGACTTAGCCAGAGAAATAAAGCACCACAAGAAACGTGAATTTTTAGTAAAAGGTCAGGACATTCAATACCAAGACCTGGAGTTGAGGTGACATACCATACACTGAGTTTAACAAAATATAACAAAAATTTAAAATAGAGATAAGGTATATTTGTATTAAATATAATTATTTTAAATATTACAGTTATAAAAAAACAACTCTACCAAAGAAAAGCCTTTACTTTTGCAAGTTAACAAGAATTGCAAAGAAAATAATGTGAAGTAAATCTAGAAGTAACAGAAAAGGTCTGTGATGTCAACACAGGAAAACTTACTATGTATATTTTATGTATTTTCTTTCTAAACTAATACATTTCTAACTTGATTGAGATACAGAAAAAAGGAAAAAATTCGTATCAGAGGGAGAAAATGCATTTTAGCAATCCTCCTAAAAATGAAAGAACCAATAGTCTTGATGTTATCTGCTATCACTGTCCCATATAGAGATCAGATCTGGTGCAAGTAGACAAGGGAAGTCTTGAGTAATGAGAGAGAGAAGAAGCTGCGATTAGTGTTATGGGGAGCATATAGCAGACCCCCATCACCATGATTTTTGTCATTTTTTTTTTCTTTTCCAGGATTTGATGACACTGATTGTTCAGTTGAAATTCAAGTTAAAAGAAATTCTCTATACAGAACTAATATTGGGAACACTTTGGTTATAAACTGCCCAGTTCATTACTGCAAGAAGAAGCCAGACATGCAGTGGTGCAAGATAGAGGCGACTACATGTGTGCAGCTGAAGGAGGGCAAAACAGAATGGAAGTCCAATGTGTTTACTCTGGAGGTCTTCCCAGTTCATCAGAATGATAGCGGACTTTATCGTTGTCGAGCAATAGTGGACAACTTTTCCAGTGAGAGCCATGGAATAAATGTTACTGTTGAAGGTGAGGCCCTTATATTATGAAAGAGACCTTTTAAACAAAATTATGTCATATACAGAAAAGCTCATGCACACAGGACAATGGCTTCTCCCAATGTGTTTGACTGGTGACACAATTGTGCTGGTACTTACCACATTCTTCATGCTTCTATCCTGCTTTTTAGCAGAATAGAAACAAAAGGAAAGAACATAATGAAATAACAGAACCGCCTGGAAAAGAAAAGTAAAGCTGCCAACATCAAACAGTCATTAGGGAACCATTTGATAATACACAAATATCAACTGTAACAAAATGGGATTGTGGGAGGACAGCCTGGTTATACATGACATGGACTAGATAGGATGCAAATGGTCATGTAGTAGCAGCCGATGAGGCCACACAACAGTAACGATGACAAAGCAATTCAAACATCTCTTTGTGAATGATCTCTCTTGCAACAAACAGAGAAAAAGTATAATTTTGTACCCAAATAAATTCAAGAGCAAGAAAGATTACAGTAGCTTTAAATTATCTTAAGGGCAAGTGAGGCCTTCACTTTAACTTAGGCAGTTGAGATGCCAAGTCTAGATTATGGTGAGCAACGTCTGCCCTCCTCAATGTTGCTCTGCAGCTAGAAAGTGATCTGTGTGGCCGTAGTGTCCTACTGACCTCAGGCAGCTGACTTGTAAGATTTTGATCAACATGTCATTCCCCCTGTCCCCAAAACACCTGGGAAGTGGAACCTTGTGCAGACTTCAGTATGTGGTGCAGAAAACACAACTGCAGTGCGAAATGTCAGGTTACTTTTTCATTTCTTTGTCTTGTCTTTCTCTTTCAGAAAAGTCTGCAAACATTATCACAATTTCAACAGAAAGTAAGTTCTGATTCTTATTTCCTCTTTAAAAGAAAGCAACAGATCTGTATTGCTATGAATTTCTGGTAAGAGTGTTTTGTGCACTCAAGACAAATTTAAACTCCTTGCTAAACTGCAACTGCATTCTTCCTACTGAAACAAAATACAGCCTCTCAGAAGTCAGAGTTTTCAAGGCTAGGACTGTCCAGTATTCAGCATAAAAGGCACAAAGTCAATCAGATTACCTCCTGATGGTATACTCTATGCCTCTGACATGCTCTTTAATATCCCAGTGATATATGGCTTACACTTACAAATTGTTAGGGATCATACTATACCATGACTTTAACACTGCGTGAAGTATGTTTTTTACTCTCAGTTGGTTATTGTGCACAATTGCATTTGCAAAAATATGTTGGAAATTCAGAGCAGTGCTGTAATTCTTAGCCTTTCTTTGCTTCTGACAGCCTTCTGCTGTGCAACATTCATCAATTACACTTGCTCACGCACTTTTCGTTCCAGTGTCTTCGTATTTCATAGAATGTCTATGGAGACAAGGTTATCTCATGACTTGCTGGACCAAGTTACAGAATGTTTAAGTACATTAAAAAGCCAGTTGCATCAGAAAGACCTAATACTATATATAAGAAAAGCAGCCAGTCAAATATTTTTGTATGCTAATACATGCTAATTCAATTTTAGATACCACTACCATCTCAGAAGAGTCCCAAGAATCTGGAAAGTACAAGATATTGCACATTATTTATGCTTCAGCATCCATTGGCCTATGTTGTCCATTCATCGTCATATGCATGTTTTGGTGTCTAAGGAGGTACCATGGTAAGTAGTTTTACCATTTAACCTTTGCCTAGTATTTGATTCCACTCCTTTTCACAGCTTCACAGAAGCTGCATTCAAAGCTTTATTAAAATGCCCTAATAATTACCCCAACTGATTGCTGAGATGCCCCTGCTAAGTGTGCCAGTTAGGCTACTGAATCTTTAAAAATTTATTTTGCCCCATGTATTGTTCCCCTCCAGAGGCAGAGGAACGGAAGTAAAATAAGAACAAATAAAAACCTCAGACTTTATAATGGTTGGAAATTTTTATCCTGTTTTGCAAATAATCAAGTTAGAAATAAATAGGAGTTTCAGCCATGCAAATGCAGTCGAGCTCTATTCAGTTACATTTTATATTCCTAGTTTCCCCTCTAAATTATCAAATAATTACAGTATTAACCTCTCCTGCTTTACAGGAACTCAGCTGCCATGTCCCAAATCAAGAATGGAACTTGGAGTCCCCCATATCTTAATATAAGTGATCTCACATTTTCCTATTATAATCCCAAGCACTTCTTTTTTAATTTTAGGAAAATGAAATTATTTCATCTTCCAATAAAAATTTAATATTTTTTTAAGCTCATAGAATGGCTTTAGGATTTTCCATGCCTTTTTCTGCTGACCTAGTTCACTGAACACAGAGAAAACTGGCCACAAATACACTAAGAATTTTTCTGCTCCTACTCTGAGGAGCTCTGTGGAATGCAGAATAGCTACTCACAAATCCAGTTTGGAAATAGATTTTTATTCTTTGAGGTACACTTAACAAAGCAAGGACTCCTATAGTAATTAATATTCCCTCCATAAGCAGAAAGGCACTTTCTCAATGCTGATTTATTGGAACATCTTTTTTTTTTCTTCTTTTTCCCAGCAAAGCAAAAGAGAACTCCATTAACCCAACAGAGACAAGAGAGCCTGGTAAGTTTAAAATTTTCCATCATCAAAACCTGACCACGTCCTTCATAACCACAAACCAAGAACAAATATTTGTGTAGTAAAAAATGTGGCAGAGGATCAGAAACAAATTTAGTGACCCTCTTGGTGCCTGGACAGCTTGGCTTGCCAGGTGTGAGGTATCACCATGGCTGAGCTGAGGGAAGGAATCAAGGGTCTTAGCCATAAAAGTACTTCAAGCATCTAAATTCCTGTTAAAACCTATTAATTTGCAAGCACCATTTCCATAAGAGGTTAGGTACCTAAAACATGTCTGCTGATCTGGTTCAGACTGTCTACATAAGACAACAAATGAGCCACAGAGTGAGGAAAATTACTGAAAAGAAAGACTTTCATATGTGGCTAGCATGAATTCACACAGGTCTTGCAATGAGTTGCAGATAAATTAGATGGGCAGAAGGCAGAACACAAAAGATGCAACCAGAGCTGGCAGCTATCAATCACAGGAGTAGTGTTAGTGGGGATAAAAGAGCACCAAGCAGGTAGCAGAGCTCCCAAAGTGCAAGTTGGAGGAAAGAAAATTAAAAGCAGTATATTCTGAGTGGCTAGAAAAATGGATGTCAAAAGAGGACTTCATTAGAGATGGGTGAATTTATAGAGGAATTTAGTGGTTTTGGAGAAGGAGAAAGATTTATTTGGAAAATGATAAGACAAAGAGAATATGAAGCAAGAGACTAGGAAGTGGGAGAACAAGGGCAATGAGGAAAAGGCAGTTTGAAAGTGAAAATAAGAAAGAATTCTTATATTGAGAAGGGAAAGCCTTGAATGAGTGGCATAGAAGAGCTCTCACTAAATGATAAATCAGTTTTGCCTGAAGTTGGCATCTTGTAAGAAAAGACATGAGAGTTTGGGAAGGGATATGGAGAAAGGCAGGATATAAAAGAATGATTTCTAACTTTATTTCAAAGATCAATATAAAATCCAGTGACCAGCTCAAAAACAGTTTTAAGGAGATAAAGCAATTTGAACCAATCTTATTCACCTTATTTAGCAGGACCACAGGCAACTACCTGATGCACAAAGCTGTACCCTGTTCTGTTTCCTGCAGGTCAGAAGCACAGCAGCTGCTCCATCCCATGCTGCTGGGACAACTCAAGCTTCGGAAGAAAGCTCCTCACTTTACTACTGCTCCATGGCTAGCCCACTGCAGGCCTTGCGCGGCAACGAAATTTATGACAACCATGTCCCTCCCTGGAACGCCCAGAGAACAGCACCTAATGCACCTTGCAATGATCCTGCTATTCCTTCCATCCCAGTTTTACTTGAAAGCCCATCTGTCCTCACATATGCTGCACTAAATCATTCTGTTTGTGCAAAAAGATGCCAGAGAAGGGAATTAACAGTAGAAAATGAGTTTACAGAATATGCCTCCATTAATATAAATAAATGAATGTGGCAAAGACTTCTCCAGACAACCATTTTGCACGCAGTCCCAGTTCTAGCTTCCCTCCAGGATGTGATTCTTTTCTCTTTTGGGAAAACTTCCCTTTTGTTAAGAAGAACCTATGGATGCTGCCCTGTAACACCAGAATTAAAAACAGAGCCTGTGTCAATGGGTGGGTATTTGCACTCTGTGTTTGTTTCTTAAATGGGGGAATAAAAACTGTCAGCTTTCTTATTTTTCCTATTTTCGGGGTCCTGCTTCTAGTCTCAATTTGATTTGGTTATGGTTTGAATATAGGCAAAGGGGAGAAGAGGCAGGTTTTCCTAGGACAGAAACATGTAAAATGAATCTGTGAGGAAGATGATACTGAGTCAGCTTTATTTCTCCCAAGCAAAAGCTAAGAACATTTGTGGGAGAATTTTCCTCCGAGTTTCTGGGAATATCCTTCCAAGGATTCAGTTTTTCATTCCAGTTTACTTTTTCCCCTTGCAAAGCTCTTTGAGTAACATGAATGTATAAAGTCACTATTAACCAAAATCAAGTGATTACTTTTGTGTGTGTGTGTGTGTGTGTGTGCGCGTGTGTAAGACAGGAAAGGAGGAGAGGGTTGTTTTCCTTTTACAAAGCATTCTCATTAATAGTGTGTGAGAAAATATTGAAATATAGCACACTCTGTTTTTCTTTTGGTGGGATAATTGGTTATCTAATTATTGCTTTTGTCCATGAAGAATCAATGGAAATAACAAATGATCAGCAGTGACTGATGCCAGTCAAAAATCACAATTTTTTGTTCACAAACAACTGTGTATAACTGTGTCATGCTAAGTTTTCCTCCCACCATTGTCACAAAAAAGTGATTATGCTTCACACTCAGGTTTGTGGGAAAGAGAAGGTAAAGACCAAGATGCCTTTCAAAGTTTGAAAAGAACACTCACACCGTTCTGTACCACTTATACAACTCTAGCTTGGATACCATGCATCTGCTCTTACAGAATAATGCTTTTAAAAATTATTCTTTTAGCTATATTTACACCACAAGTTTACAGCAACAAGCAGAGTCCTTAACTTGGTGTCCTGTCCCTAAACCTTGACACTTGGTTAAAAATTTGCACCACAGTTGAAAAGGAAGGATGTAGGTCTCAGACTGCACATAACACACCGGACAATTTGCATTCTACTTAATGGAAGAAAATAAGGCTTTTCTTTCTTCATATTTCATCTTCGTAACAGCTAACACCAAAGCTGTTAAGCACATACACATTCACCCTACTATTTTGGTAAGCACATACACACTCACTGTACTATTTTGGTAAGCTAGATGGTTTATTATGTTTATGATACACTTGTGCTCCACCCTTCTCCCACCTTTGAACTCAGCCACAGTATCTGTGTGGATAAAAATACATGGTAATTGTCTCTGCACTAAATTTTTGCACTAAGTTGCTAGTTCAGGGCATTAGATATGTTGATATTTTGAGTTGTTCTGTTTTGTTTTTCTTTTTAAATCTATAAATTATCAATCCAGTAAATAATTTATAATACTCATTTAAAAAAATAGTAGAAAACTATTTTCTAGAAAAATTCAGTTTACTTCTTTGATTTTAGTGGGCTCAACCTTGTATGGCTAGAGACTAATTAATTTAGGTGAATGACTGGAAAATTTGGTGTAAGTTAGGTATGAATAGATGCAGAAAGAAGCCTTTAACTGCATTTATTTCTCAGCTGATAAAGGTAAAATTATTTTCATACACTACAAGTAACTTTCAGAATAAGAAAAAAAGTGTTTCTCTGAAATAGATTCTACCTCAGTGGTCTTAAACTGAAGAACAAGGACAACCATTCAATGGAGAACCTAAATGGATTTGAACAAAAGGCATGAAATTTCTTTAAATCTTTCCATGACCTGAATACAGGCCTTGCAGGCAGCAGGGAAACAGTAAAAAGGCCATGCTTCCAGAGAGCAAGTACACATGAAACAATATGGTTCTTGAAGTTCCTTTGCAATACTCTGCCCATAGCAGAGTATATACAGGGAAGAGTCCAAAGACTGTCAGGAAGGAAAGGAGGAGTGCTGAGGCAGGCAGGTTAACTGTTTGAGATCCCAACCAGCTCTGCGATGCATTCATCTGGGCATGTACAGCTTTATCTCCATCACTCCAGCAAGCTGAAAGCACCAGCAGGGCCATTCAGAGCAGCTCCAGAAAGATGATTGGCAACTGGGACTTAGAATGAGAGTGAGCATGGAAGAGGCATTGTTCCACCAAAAGATGCAAAGGCTAGTGAAATCTTAATGTGAGATATCTTACCTATATGGCAAGGCTGAATCTTGGCTTAATGATGACCTCAGAAAGCCAAGTTCGATTTGGAAGATTCAATTTTTTAGATAAACAGGAAGTACCGCACCACTTTACCATCAAACATGCTAACATAGAGAAGTGAAGAACAGGAGCTTGCAGCAGGTTCCCTTTTTTAAGCAAACAAATTGAAAGACTGTTTTTTGAAGCAAGGAAACAAAAGACACTGACTGAAACCATGTGCCTTTTAAGGTGCAGATAATCCAGCCAGATAAAGTATAGCATTGCTCATTTTTCACAGCCTTTTGAAAGAAAAGAAAAAAGGTTATTCCCACTGTCCACTGGCTGTGAAACTTGCCAGTGAAAGGAAGTACTATACTGTGTCACTTAAGGTCCTACATATTAATCTCGATCGTGTAGTGCACCTCTCAAAAACATAATGTCACTTTTGAGACATCACACCCAATGATGATTGTGTTAAGGCTTGGTGGATGGCCTCCAGATTTTACAGAGTAGCATCCTACTCGAGGGGCAGGACACCAGTCGGAGCAGAGCCATCTCATGATTCAACCTGTGCGCTCAGTGCACGAATGACAGAGGCCACTACTGGGTTAAACCATGCAGTGAAACATCACAGCAGTGCACTAAAGGAAACAAGAGAGATGTACAACACCTGTGGGAGATGTACAACACCTATGCAGCCTCCCTAAGACATGGTCCAAGAGCCTCCAATTTATGTGACATGATTTTCTACTTCTTATCTTTCCTTTGCTATTTTTGCACCAGAAATGCTGTACAGGTATAGTCACACAGGAAGTCTAAAAAACAGAAACAAAGCTGTACAGCTCTCAGTTACACCCACAAACCCACATGGAAGGAAAGTAGCTAAGTCTGTGTAGTTGAAGGTCTGTTAATGCCAGCAAAGCACGTTACTGCTCTTCATTGCAATCTCTTCTTGCAAGGGAGCAACCTGCACAGCACACAAGACCCTTACAAGATGAGATGGTATGAGTGGGCTCTTAGACAGTAAAACACATCAACCATCCTACTTTAACTTTATCCAGATATTCCCTTCCCAAAATGGTGCTTCCTTATAAAGGCATAAAAAGATTAGAATAACATGAGGTTTATTCATTTGCCAACTCTTGGGCCCCAAATGTCTATCATGCAGGGGACTGCTTCTGGCAAACCACAAAATTTTCATGTTGCTAGATCAAGCAACAGCTTGCGGAGCCTTGCTTCTCCACCTACATGTTTTGTGATACTTTCCCCCACATCCCCACAATAGCCTGAGCCCCATAAGGCTCATAAGGCTCACAGGCAGTGAGGAGAGTGCGGAAGGGAGTGCTACAGCTAAAAGCAGACAAGTGGAGCTCGCACCTCCAAATAAAAGACATCATCTTACATTGCTAAGTTTTGCGCTGCTTTCTCCTTAAGAGAGTGATCAGGGCTGTAAATTGTAAGAGTGTCGCCCCAGACTGCAAAGAAATAGGGTGTACAGACAATGGTTTGTTCCTTGATTTGCCTGAGCTGTTCCACCTTCATCCTGCTGTACCTGCCTTACCTACATCGTTAAGGCAGTAGCCCCTGGAAGAAAAAGGGGCAGCACAGACAGATGGAAACATAAGATGGTTTGGGACTCAGCAGCTGGGCTCCACACTAAAGCCTTGCTTCCTGTACCCCAGCTATTCCCCGTGCTGCCAGCTCAGATCTTTCCAAATTCCAGGCAAGTGGTACCATTCTCTGGGTCTATCTACATCCCACATCCTCAATGGAGGCCAGAGGACACAAGCCCAGGGCTGAGCCCTGGGACCAGACCACAGCACCAGCCCAGGTGATGGTTGAGGGAAGTGGCAAACATCCATTTTCCAGACGAGGCTGTTCCCTGTACTGCTTCTTGCACATTTCAAGAGTTCCTCATTCTGAGATCTCTACAGCTCTGCTTCTCAACCCCATTTCACATCAACAAATATCAGTCCAGGCATATGGGAACCAGAGGCAGGAACAGACACACAAACAATGGGCAGGGGGAAATCTTGTTCTTCTTTTCAGAGAAGAGCAGATTTCAGGGGGAGACAGAGAGCAGGAGAGGAAGACCTGAATGGGCACCCAGAAAAGAATCTCCAAGGAAGAACACTAGAGCCTAAAGGACAGCAGAGTTAGCTACGAAGCTACATGGAAACAACCCTATGTCCCTCAATACAGAAAAAGCGAAGAAATCTTTTTTATTGTGAGCAACAACAACAAAAAAAGCCTGCACAAGGCCAGGCCTGCTCCTCTGCAATTTATGTTTCCCTAATGAAAAGTGCTTAAGAACCACATAAGCTCACTTTTTCATCCACACAGGTCAGTGGCATTTGTCAGCCACATGAATCAGCTGCACTCATACTCTTTCAGTTTCACACAGGTGAAACTTTGTATTTCACACCGTGCCCTTTATATTCCAAGCCACTGCAATTACATATCTAGCCTGAACTCAAATTTCAAATTCCTATTCCCCTTTTTGCCATGTCATACGTACACCCACACCTCTGAGTACCCATGGATGGAACACTACTGCCATAGTTACTGTAATATAACTAAAGCAGTGGGGGATAATTGGTGTTGGAAACACTGTTAAGAGGCTGAACTTCTAACAATTATGAATCTTGGCCTGTGAGACAGAGGAGTTTACAGTACGATGGACTTGTATAATTAATTATGCATCTTGTA